TCCCCCATGTGACCTTGCACTCCGGGTGTCCTGAATGTGCAATTCAGGCCTTCCAGCCCTTTATGGAACTTTGGCCTTTTGGAGGCTGGGCTGTCATCAAGGGGAGGTCTAGCCCCTGGCTCTGACTCCGAGCAGCTTAACTGGTTTGGACTGCCTAATCTGCCCAGAAAGATCAGCTGGAAGCACCTGGGGCTGTTTCCCTACAGAGAGGAGTCACTGCACTCTGCTCTAAAGCCCCGCCTGCCCTTAGGGCTGCCTGCCTTTTGGGCTGCCCGCCCCTTCTGATCCCCTTTATGGGAGAGAGACCTGTCCAAGCAGAGCCTGGACTACATCTCCCAGCGTGCCTGGCAGAGTGGTGGCCTCTGTGTGCCGGCTGCACCATTTGCGGGCAACAATGCAGCGGGCAGTAAGCATGGTGGCCTATCTGGGCTTGCGTCTGCAGGCGCTCCCGTCGGCCCTGGGCCGTCCACTCAGTTGTGCACAGGTGGGATAGAGGGTACTGGGGCATGGTGCCAATTTTGGAGGGGCGGGAAGGGTGGGGGTTGAGGCTGGGACCCTGGTAGCCCTGAACCCAGCCACCCGCAGGACGTGCTCCGCAGGACACCACTCTATGATTTCCACCTGGCTCATGGCGGGAAGATGGTGGCGTTTGCAGGCTGGAGTCTGCCTGTGCAGTACCGGGACAGTCACGTTGCCTCACACCTGCACACACGCCGGCACTGCTCACTCTTTGACGTGTCCCACATGCTGCAGGTGAGCCAGGGAAGCATACTAGCTGCCAGGTCAGGGCTTCCTCCCCTTCCACAGGGGTGTAGCTTTTGGGCTTTGTTGGGAGGTGGATTCCAAGGGCTGCCCTTGCAGAAGTGGAGGTCTCAGGTGTTGGAGACTATAGCCCAGGAAATTAACTCAGAGGATCTCTTGATTGTCTCCTCTTTAATCTCTTCAGCCTACTCCCTCTTAGTAGCATGACTTTATGTCCTGGGTTTCCCAGGGCTGGCGCCCATTCTCATCAACTGTCCTGGGTGTTGGTTTGGAAAAGAGGGTATTTCATGATGGTGCTGGGCCCTTTCAAGTTTCCTAAACACCTCCATTGCACCCCCTCCTGTGTTGGCGGATGTGGGGGAACCAGAAGGTGGGGATCTGCCATCCGCAGAACCAAAAGACTGCTCAGGCACTTAGGCTGCATTGGGCTGTACTGTGGATGGCAGGGAGGATGCCTCCTTGTCCAGTGGCTTTCCTGATTGCAGCGATTACTGTGGTCTGAGGTTTTGGATCTTTTTCCCAGACCAAGATACTTGGTTGTGACCGGGTGAAGCTGATGGAGAGTCTAGTGGTTGGAGATATTGCAGAGCTAAGGCCAAACCAGGTGGGTCCCTCTTATTTTGCTAAATGGGTGTTCTTAGTCATGAGCCAGCAAATGGGGGGAGGGGTGGAAGGACAGCAATGTTCAGATACAGCTTCTCGGGGCTTGCAGTCTTGGGGCATGGGGTCCCTGTGTCATGTCTGGACATCTAGTTATCTGCAGGGGAGGGGGGGCTATTCCATCCTTACCACATCAGGCTGGAAGGCTAGAAACCCAGGTTTATGTCCTGTTCTGTGATTTTCCATGCTGTCAAACCCCTTGAAATTCAAAGGCAGTCCATTAAACCAACAGTCTCATTATCACCAAGAGCTTGTTAGGGAATACACTGTCAGGCGCTGCTGTAGACCCGCTGAATCGGAACTTGCATTTTAACATGATCCCCAGGTGATTCATATGACCTCTCAACCTCAGACTGTCCATCCAGTGGGGAGGCTGTGAGGCCAGCCTCACAGTATTTTGGAGTATTGCTGTGGAGCTCATGGGATCATCAAGATGCACTTTGAAGTTTCCATCTTGGGGTTTGGGGAATGGACTGAGTTGTCCCAGGTCTGGGTGGGATGAAGCAGCAAGTCCTAGGTGTCATGGATTAAGTGTGAGGTGGGGCTCTCAGTACTGAGTGGGGAGGGGTACAGAAGCCCCACCAGATCAGGGAGGTCTCCCAAGGTGGGAAGGGGTGAAAACTTTCTTAGTGCATGAGGATCAAAAACCCTGGGATTGGGCAGGGTCCTGGGCTCACCTAGCTTTGTTCCTCCTCGCCTTCCAGCCCTGCGCATGAGGCTTCTTTTTCAGGAATTTGTGATGGCTGAGTGGCCCTGGGGGCGGGGGGCATTGTCTGACTCCTGGATCTGGAGGCAAAGATGCTCCATTTTGGCACTAGGGGACGCTGTCACTGTTTACCAATGAGGCTGGAGGCATCTTAGATGACTTGATCGTGACCAGCACCTCTGAGGGGTACCTGTATGTGGTGTCCAACGCTGGCTGCTGGGACAAGGACTTGGCCCTCATGCAGGTACAGCCCTTCTGTGTTCTAGGTACCCTATGTTCCTTGTTCACAGAACAGGACAGACCCAGCAGGGACAAAGGGCTCAGACAATGGCTTTTTGAGTGAGTGAACAGCAGGCCAGAGTGGGTCCTGCCTGGAGAATGCCAGGTTTCAGTGATGGGGTAGTAGGGGAGGTAAAATTGACCCTGGCTCCCAAGTGAGCATCCTCTGGTTAAGGTAAAAGCTGGAGCCTGATGTTAGCACTGGCAGACCTGGCCTTGGGTCATCCATACCACTTAGTTATGTGACTTTGTCAGATGGGAACTGGCCTATTCTGCCCAGCTCTTCAGCCAGCTGTCAGCCCACAGTAAGTGCTCAGTAAGTGGTCCCAGAAGCTGATGTGGTGTTTCTGTCTTTCCTTTCAGGGCAAGGTCAGGGAGCTTCAGAACATGGGCAGTGATGTGAGTTTGGAAGTGGTGGATAATGGCTTGCTAGCCCTGCAAGGTGAGCAGGCCAGGCTAGGGTTGGAGCTGACCTTTGCCTCCTGGCTTTTCAACTACTAAGCACAGAAGGCCTATCAGGAGGAAAGTGTGCATGGTGTGACATTTGTGTGCCATAATTCTAAGTTTGGTATTAATGTCCTCCCTCTACCTGCCATAAGGCTCCATGGGCTGTGGGCAAGAGCACCTTCTCCCACCTGCAGAATAGCACTTGCTCAGGGCTTATTCTGGTCCCTGAGTAAGGGCTGTGGTCCAGCTTTGAGAGGAAACTAGGACCTGGACAATTGGTCACGGTCTCCCTGGGCCTAGGCCCCACTGCGGCCCAGGTATTGCAGGCCGGCGTGGCAGATGACCTAAGAAAACTGCCCTTCATGACCAGTGCTGTGATGGAAGTGTTTGGTGTGTCCGGCTGCCGTGTGACCCGCTGTGGCTACACAGGAGAGGATGGTGTGGAGGTATGTGAAAAAGTAGGTGTAGGATGGTGCAGGACACAGGATTCTGGAGCCAGCTGCCCACCTGCTCTCTGGTGTTCCATGCAGATCTCAGTGCCAGCTGCAGGGGCAGTCCACCTGGCAACAGCTCTGCTGGAAAACCCAGAGGTGAAGCTGGCAGGGCTGGCGGCCCGGGACAGCCTACGCCTGGAGGCAGGCCTCTGCCTGTATGGGAGTGACATTGATGAACACACCACACCTGTGGAAGGCAGCCTCAGTTGGACATTGGGTGAGCTGGGCCAGCACTCAGAATCCTGAAGGCTACAGTGGCCAGCCTATGACTGCTCCCAAGGCTGTGTAGCCACTGTGGCTTTGCCCATTAGATCCTCAGCAGGCTGAAGTGGGCAGCATAATCTTCAAGACCTGGGGACAAGAGGTGGGTGGCTGACTGCATTGCAGGGGAGGAATGGAGCTTGGGGGGCCCTGAGCAAAGGGACCTCACTGCTGGATGGATTTTACTTGGGGTCCTTGTAACTAGGACCTCCTATGGCCAAGGGTTTTATGGACTGTGGCTTAAGCCTGGTGTCATGCTTCAGGGAAGCGCCGCCGAACTGCCATGGACTTCCCTGGAGCGTCGGTCATTCTTCCTCAGCTGAAGGGCAAAGTGCAGCGGAGACGTGTAGGGTTAATGTGCGAGGGGGCACCTATGCGGGCACACAGCCCCATCCTGAATATGGAGGGCACCATGATTGGTAGGTGGACCAGGGAAGTTGGAGAGCCCTTGTCCCTTCCCTAGGAGGGTGGGCATTGGACTGGTAAGGTGGTGCTGACATGGCTTCTTCTCACACAGGTACTGTTACCAGTGGCTGCCCCTCTCCCTGCCTGAAGAAGAATGTGGCCATGGGTTATGTGCCCTGTGAGTATAGTCGGCCAGGTACCCCGCTGTTGGTAGAGGTGCGGCGGAAGCAGCAAATGGCTGTGGTCAGCAAGATGCCCTTTGTGACTACAAATTACTATACCCTCAAGTGAGGATGGATTGGGTCAGGGCCCTTCCCATCCAAGAGCCTGGACCTGGAGGGCATTCTACAAGGGTTAGGAAGCTAAGGCTGAATACTCTGGGGTAGGTGGCTAGGGTGGAGGATGTTTCTGATTTTCTGGTGTGTGTGGGGGGCAAACCACCTATTCTCTCTCTCATGTGCCTCTCCTCTTGGAGAGGTACACTTCTTGAAAGACCCCATTTCTGGGGTGCCTGGGTGGCTCAGTTGGTTAGGCGTCCGACTTCGGCTCAGGTCACGATCTCACTGTCTGTGAGTTCGAGCCCCGCGTCGGGCTCTGTGCTGACTGCTCAGAGCCTGGAGCCTGTTTCAGATTCTGTGTCTCCCTCTCTCTCTGACCCTCCCCCATTCATGCTCTGTCTCTCTCTGTCTCAAAAATAAATAAATGTTAAAAAAAAAAATTAAAAAAAAAAAGACCCATTTCCGAGCAATAGACCAGCTCATGCAATGTCAGCTTGTGCTCCCATTGACCCCATTCTTGTCTGCTGGAGGGCTATGGGAAGCACTAGTTCTGGCATCTCTCCCTTCCACTCTGCCAGGTGCTGGCTGTGGAACAGAGGCTTACATTTAGGGAGGAGGTAAAGCCTGCCCAACCTACCTCATCATGGTTTCTCACACTGCAAAGGGGTTATTATTACCTTGGGTAGCGCTGCCTCTCCCTAGGCAGGAATGATTCCTGACTCACAAAGGCTTGGCCCTGTAGGGCCATTGTGCCTGTGTAAACTTGGGAAAGCTGAGGGGACACAGACTCACTCTTCCACATTCCCAAGTTATCCCAGCCTGCTGCTTAGTAGCAAACCATGCCAGGCTCACCATCTGTTCTGAGCCCCAGGGCTGTTGTAGAGCACACTGGGCCTCCTCCTGGACCTGCCTTACCCTGGGCTGACCTTTGCCCCTGGGGCCCATTACTGGACTCCACTGACTTCTAACAAAACATTAAGCGAGCTTCCTTTCTTCTTGCTTGCCAGAGTTTCTAGCTTCATTGTCCTTTGTCCACATGATTGCTGGCGTGCCAGCCTAATGCCTCCTTGCCTGGCCTCTGAGGCAGGCTTAGAGTGGATTCTCCTTGAGAGGGCCAAGTCTATAAAAACTAGTGAGGATAGTGCCCCCTCCCTATTGGGCACCCACCACTGCTCCTCCAGAGAGCTGGTGTCATTTCTCCACCTCTGCAAGTCATTGCATTCTGTGCGCTGAGGGGCAGTAGCCCCAAGTGTTCCCTTTCCAGTTTTCCCTGTGCATGCACACCCTCGTCCTGTCTGAATAACCACACAACTGATGCACTTCCAAGTTTAATAAGCCACATCCTCAGCTGAACCTGGGGTAAAATGTGAGACCCTGATTCTATGTGTGGTGGTGTCAGTGGGTAGGCCTGAGGCTGCAAAACCATCATCCTACCAGTCAGAAGATACCTCCAAAGTAGATACACGTACACAAGTTCAGTGTAGTCCTACTTCCAGTGTGTTTCTGCTGCAAAGGTGGCCTAGCCAAAGGCTGCCAGATGGATAGAGGAAGCAGGCAGCGGGATACTGAGGTAGCTGGTGGTCCAGCAGAAACAAGTATAGAAATACAGCCTTCAGGAAGGGAGGCAGTTCTAGGGTCATGCTGCTTTCAGAAACTGGCATGTGCCTCCCACACCTTTGGAAGCTCCCCTGGCCCACTGTGTAAGTGGCAGGCCTGCCCAGCCTGTGGTTCTTCCCGGCTGTTGAGGGAGGGTTCTTGGGGGCTGAGATGGTGCTAGTGGGGACGAGCTGAGCCTGTGGCCTCTTAGGATGAAGCTCTTGTGGTTCCGGGTCAAGATGGGAAGTGATGAAGTGGCAGAGCCACTCAGCGGTAACTGCTTAGTACCTCTCTGTGAGGGGACAGGGTACAACCCCATGGGTGGGGGTGGAAGGTCATCCTTGGGGCTTAGCGTCTTTCAGGCACCCAACCTCCCAACAAGGATTGAGAAGAGTATAAATGAGTTAATATTCAGGAAAGGACAATTTCCATAGCCTGACTCACACCTGAAAAGCTCTGGATGGGCTAGGGAAGTGGGTGTTTGGTGCCTCCACGTCCAGGTAGTGCCAAGCGCCCCCTGGCGCTTGTATGGCCAGCTAAGTAACCATAGAGTATAAGGCCATGTCTAGGCCAGTCTTTCCTGGCTCCCTGCCAACAAAGCAAAAACAAATTCAAGAGCTTAGGAGAAAACAGACTTCCCTTACAAATCCCAGAGCTGGTCAACCTCAAGTTTCTTCTCAAGGAAATTTCTATGGGGTCACATCCCAGCAGATTGGAAGGGGGACAGGAAAAAGCCAAGGCAGAAAATGGACTGTTGGCCTCCCCAACCCAGAGGCTCCTCCTGAGCTGACCCCTGAGAGAGGAGGAACATGTCTTCTCTCCTTAAGGCACCCAGATCTGGGTAGAGGCAAACTTTACTGGCCCAATGCCTGGAGCTGCTGGAGGCAAGGCCAAGAGCAGTGGAGGGCCAGGTCTTCAAGCACTGGGGTACTCCCTGCCCCCAACCCCTCCCCCCATGCAGTCTCTGGGGTCTGGGCAGCAGCAGAACCCAGTGTGGGAACCAGCAGACCCGGTGATGTCCCTGGAGATCCCTCTGCTGCCTTCCCTTATTCTCTGTGGGTTTTGAGAGGTTCATTTGCTGTTGTTTCCCTAAAAGTGATGGAAAAGAGAAAAGGATTATTCCACAGGCAGCACAACAGTCCCTGAGATTGGCTCTCTCTAGCCCTGTAGGGGCTGAAGTGGGCTCAGTAAAGCCACACTACAATCTATATCTCTGTACTAAGTTCCCACAGCCCACACTGGGTCCCTCACCTTTCTCCTGAAGACAAGTTTTTCCTCCTGGTTCCTACCTTATGGTATTCCTATCCTTCCCCAAGTTGCTCAGGACCTGGACAGTGGCAGGCCTCCTAACTGGCCTCTTGCCTTCTCTATTGGACCCCTTTTCTTGCCATGAAACAGGCAGTTATAAAGACAAATTAGATCAGGCCATAGCCTTGCTGAGTCCTTCAATAGCTTCCTGAAATTTGGCATAGGGTATTGTGGGTCCCGCCAATGCCTTCATGTTTGAGCTCCAGTGTCACAGCTTTGTCTATCCTTCCAATATGACACCCTTGTTCTTGCCCTGGGCCTTATTCTATCAATTTTCTTTGCCTGGTACACTTACTCCCTAGCCTTTGCCATTAGCTTAGGTGTCTGTTTTGCGAGAAAACTCTTGACTACCCTTGCCCCCACACCGCTGCCCTTCCCTTTTATTATTTTTTTGTTGCCCTCCCTTTTAAATCTCTGGCTCCCCCTATAAACAGGATAAAGGATAACCCCCCTGGGTTGTCCTTGTTCTCTGGACCTAGTTGCCCTCCTCTCCCCCCACCACACCACACCACACCACACCCCTCATATAGAAGGAGCTCAGAAATTAGTTGAATGAATGCTCTGATTAGTGAGTAGATGTTTTACAGATGAGGAGGCTGACCTGATGTTGCCAGTAAGTGCATTAAGGACATAGGCTCCTGCCTTTCTAACTGAAGGGCTTGCAGTAGAGTGGAACCCAACAGACTTGCCAGCTCATCTCTGAAATTGTGACAATAGCCCCACAGGCAGCATGCTGAACAGCATATTGGTGGGCTGTTCAGAAATTAGAGTCTGAGCTCCAGTTGAAGACCTTGGGGCTTGCTGTAAAGACCACTAAACTAGTGGACTTCTACCCTGAGAATTTCCTGCCCCCATCCCTGTTATCAGCACAGGCCTATCCTCTGCCTGCCAAGCATGGGGTTGTGATGGGCACAGATTTACTCACCACGAAGTGAAATGCGTGGAGCCATCAGGTGTGGATCCGTTCTGGCCGCCCAGACCTGGGGGCAGGAACACATCCAGAGCTGCAGCAGGCTGGGGGTGGGGATCTGAGCAGGTATCAGCCCAGGTCAGGTTTGAGGCCAGTGGCGGTGTTTGGTGAAGAGTCTCGTGGGGGCCCCAAAGGGACTAGCGGTATTGTCTGATTGAGGTTCAAAGGAAGTTAAAATGTGATGGGTGGACCGGGGTTTCTGGCATGAAATGGTATGTTGGCATGGATTAGGGTGCAGAGTTAAGCTGTGATGTGGTCCTTAGGGGATCAGTGGTAGTCTAGGGGGTTCTGGGGAGCCCAATGATGGAGTCCAGTGGGGGGTGGGGAGCCTCACCTGGGCGGTGATACAGCCCTGTCACCGTGCTCCCGTAGAACCCCCACGCCAGCTGGATGCCCAGGAGACTTAACACCAACCAGAGTAGCAGCAGCTTGAAGAGGGTCACGCGCATGTCCTGCGCCTCCCACTCCCGCAGGAACTCGCTGCCCAGGGTGCCCAGCGCGCCCAACACCGTGGTCGGAAGAGCCTGCAAGGACTGCCCAGACCAAGGCTCCGCCATGACTGGCCCATACCCCACCCGGGGGACTGTCACCGTAGTTCCGACTGCGCAGGCGTCTGGTCTTCCGGGGCCAGGGCCGTTAGTGCGCACGCGTAAAACTA